CACCTGTAATCCTAGCACTCTGGGAGCCGAGGTGGTGGATTGCTCGAGGTCAGGAGTTTGAAACCAGTCTGAGCAAGAGCGAGACCCATCTCTGCTATAAATAGAAAGAATTAATTGGCCAACTAATATAATATATATATATATATATAATAAAATTAGCCAGGCATGGTGACGCAAGCCTGAGCAAGAGCAAGAGCAAGACCCTGTCTCTTCTAAAAATAGCAAATATTTCAAGCTACTTGGGAGGCTGAGGCAGGAGGGTAGCTTGAGCCCAGGAGTTTGAGGTTGCTGTGAGCTAGGCTGACGCCACAGCATTCACTCTAGCCTGGGCAACAAAGTGAGACTCTGTCTCAAAAAAAAAAAAAAAAAAATTGGGTGTTGGCCAGTGAGGTGGCTCAAACCTGTAATCCTAGCACTCTGGGAGGCCAAAGCAAGAGGATCATTTGAGCTCAGGAGTTTGAGACCAGCCTGAGCAAGAGTGAGACCCTGTCTCTACTAAAAATAGAAAGAAATTAGCTGGACAACTAAAAATATATAGAAAAAATTAGCCAGGTATGGTGGCACATGCCTGTAGTCCCAGGTACTCGGGAGGCTGAGGCAGAAGGATTGCTTGAGCCCAGGAGTTGGAGGTTGCTGTGAGCTAGGCTGACACCAGCCTAGGCAACAAAATGAGACTCTGTCTCAAAAAAAAAAAATAAAAAAATAAAACAAAATAAAATTGGGGGAGACACTGACTTTGCTTTGGATCAGACACCACTGAAGTCTGATATCAAATATTGGTGATTTGTGATTATAAATCAGGAAAATAACAACAGGCTGCTTTGCCATCCATTCATCCATCCATCTATCCATCTACATTATCAACAAATTTTATTATGTACCCACTTCATCCCAAGGCCTTTATTGGATGTTGGGAATGCAACATTGAACAAAATACTGGGATTCAATTTCTGCATCTAAAGTATTATGGTGAGAATGTCTACATCCTAGGGTTGTTGTAAGAATTAGATGCAAAACTATGTTAAGTATATGGCATATGGTCAGAATTTAGTTCCCTTTCCTTCTTTTCTTGAATTGTATTTTCTTGCTTCTTTTTGTTAGAGTATCATAATGAATCAACATGTATGAATAAAAAGCAAACAAATAATGTAAATTCCATATAATCACCCTTGTTCAAGTGGAAAATTTAGTGAGGATTTGTTCATTTACTTTAGACACAGTTAATTGGAAGAGACAAAGCCACCTCCCTGGATCCATCAGTGACCACCCTGATTCTGACTAAGAATAAAGAGAAAATGCAGGTACTTCATCTAATATACTGTATATATTTACATGCCAGCAATTTGCCTTTTTCTTTTTCTTTTTTTTTTGAGACAGAGTCTCACTTGTTGGCCCAGAGCTAGAGTGAGTGCCGTGGATCAGCCTAGCTCACAGGCAACCTCAAACTCCTGGGCTCAGGCAATAATCCTGCCTCAGCCTCCCAAGTAGCTGGGGCTACAGGCATGCGCCACCATGCCCGGCTAATTTTTTCTATATATATTAGTTGGCCAATTAATTTCTTTCTATTTTTATATAGTAGAGACGGGGTCTCACTCTTGCTCAGGCTGGTTTCGAACTCCTGACCTCGAGCAATCCACCCACCTCGGCCTCCCTGAGTGCTAGGATTACAGGCGTGAGCCACTGCGCCCGGTCTGCCTTTTTCTTTTATTTTCTTTCTTTTTTTGTTTTTTTTTTGAGACACAGGCTCGCTCTGTCGCCTGGGCTATAGGGACCTGGCATCAGCCTAGCTCACAGAAACTCAAACTCCTAGGCTCAAGCAATCTTCTTGCCTCAGCCTCCCGAGTATCTGGGACTATAGGTGTACACCACTACGCCTGGCTGATTTTTTTTTTTCTTTTCTTTTTTTTTTTTTTAGAGACGGGGTCTCGCTATGTTGCCCAGGCTGGAGTGCAGTGGCTATTCACAGGCGTGATCCCACTACTGATCAGCACGGGAGTTTTGACCTGCTCCGTTTCCGACCTGGGCCGGTTCACCCCTCCTTAGGCAACCTGGTGGTCCCCCGCTCCCGGGAGGTCACCATATTGATGCCCAACTTAGTGCGGACACCTGATCGGCATAGCGCACTACAGCCCAGAACTCCTGGCTCAAGCGATCCTCCCATCTCAGCCTCCCGAGTAGCTGGGACTACAGGCGCGCGCCACCGCGTCCGGCTTTTTTACTTTTAGTAGAAAAAAAAATAGGATCTTGCTCTTGCTCAGGCTAGTCTGGAGCTTCTGACTTCAAGTGATCCTCCCCCCTCAGCCTCCTAGAGTGCTAGGATTACAGATGTGAGCCACTGAGCCAAGCCCAGCAATTAATTTTAATTAGCTTTCAAATGTATTATGTGATTTGGAGGAGTGGTGATCCACTCCAGAAGGCCACCCAGTTTTGCCTTCTCAGATTTGTTCTGCTCAGATGAAATATTTAAGGTAGTTTGTACCCTCTGGCTACAAACCACCTCACCACCCTGAGGCACAGCTCATAAGGTACTACAGGACTGAAGGAAGCCCACCCAGAGCTAAATGTTTGCCATGGAGAATTCAATTTTCTTTAATATTTCAACAAATATTTGTTAGGCAACCATTATTTAAAACTCCATGGCAGCCGGTGGGTCTCGGCTGTAATCCTAACACTCTGGGAGGCCAAGGCGGGCAGATCGCTCAAGGTCAGGAGTTTGGAACCAGCCTGAGCAAGAGCAAGAGCAAGACCCTGTCTCTTCTAAAAATAGCAAGAAATTAATTGACCAACTAAAAATATATATACAAAAAATTAGCCAGGCATGGTAGTGCATGCCTGTAGTTCCAGCTACTCGGGAGGCTGAGACAGGAGGATTGCCTGAGCCCAGGTGTTTGAGGTTGCTGTGAGCTAGGTTAACACCATGGCACTCTAGCCCGGGCAACAGAGTGAGACTCTGACTCAAAATAAATAAATAAATAAATAAATAAATAGATAGATAGATAGATAGATAGATAGATAGATAGATAGATACATACATACATAGATACATAGATAGATAAATAAATAAATAAATAAAACTCCATGGCAACATATCAGGTAAAATGGTGATAGTGAATAGTGCAATGGTTCTCAACCCTAGGAGATGTCACTGTCATCCAGTGTTACCACTGATTATTCAATACCTAGGTTTGTGAATGATTTGCTGTTTTGTTTTTATTTTTTTAGAGACAGAGTCTTGTTCTATCACCCAGGCTGGGGGAGTGCAGTGGTACAATCATAGCTCACTGTAACCTCGAACTCCTGGGTTCAAGTAATCCTCCCACCTCAGCCTCTTGAGTAGCTGAGACTACAAGGCACATACCACTATGCCCACCTAAGTTTTAAAAAATTTTTTTGTAGAAACAGGGTCTCACTATATTGCCCAAGCTGGTCTTGAACTTTTGGCTTCAAGCAATCCTCCTGCCTTGGCCTTCCAAAGTGTTAGGATTACAGGTGTGACTGTGCCTAGCCATTTGCCTTTTTAAAAGAATAAATTAGAATGAATTCATATTTATCCCTGCAATAACATATCTCATGCTCATTTGCAGCACTCGCATATTCTTTCCTGAACTCGAGGAAAAAAGAGGTGGAGAAACAGCTGGTTAGCTGCTGGTAGCTGGTAGCTCTGGGTACCTCTACAGGAGGGTGTTGCTCACATGCATCTGGGTGGAACAAAGGTTGAGAATCACTGGATTAAGTTAGGTGTGCTAGATATAGAATGGACGGTTTTCCCAAAGTGAAGTCCCTGCTGTCTTTCCATGTCTGTTGCTTAGGAATTCTTGGATTGATGCTCTCACTTACCTATCAATGTCTTCTGCGGAACGTACTATGTGCAGGGCCCTTATAGGACAGTAAAGACAAGATTCTCTAGGAGGGGTGACAGGGCAGATAGATCACTATAGTATGACAGAAACAAAGGAACAATGAAAAGAAAGATTTAAATAAAGTCAAGTCAAAGAGGGTTTCAGTCCTGACAAACTAACAAATGGTGAACCTGTCCTCTTTCCTCATTCAGCATTCATCGTAGGAAGTTTATGGGTACCTGAAACCATATCCCACAATTGAAACATGCTAATTAGGCTATAACATGTAAGCATGGGTACATTAAAATTCAATGTAGTGGATGAATGCTATCCAAACCTTTACCTTTACTTCATTTTCTTAACACTTCTAGTGTGATATTTCTCTAATGGAGATGTGAACATTTAACTTCCATAGCATGTCAGATAAACAGAATTGAAAAACTTGGGCATCTTGATAGATCAAGTTTTTCTCCTCCTTTGTGTAATGTTTCTACACAGCTTATAAAATGCAGTCCCTCCACTTCTCAGAGCAATTAAAATGTTGCGCAGAGATCTTGATTTGGCTATCTGGGGAACCAAGACAAGTAACAATGTCAACTATTTTGATATTTGGGAAAGAAATGCAAACACTTCTTACTAACTGCTTGTAAAGCCAACCCCAACCCTAACTATAACTTTAGAAATGGCAACATAAAGTGAACTCAACTTTTTGATCTTGTTTGCACAGAGTAAGAAGCTAGGCGTTACAGTATCAGGCACTCCAAAAAGAAGCACAAACTCAAGCCAAGAGCCAGTTCCAGGTATGAAGCCAAACTGGCCTACAAACAGATATCCTGTCACAAAAAGAGGCCGTGCTAACATGGTGGCATACCCATCCTTGCACATATATACGTACCCATAGGTATACCTGCACCATGCCACACACGTGCTTCCTCAGGGTGTTTGGGGTTAGATATATTTTGAAACATGGGAAAGGTATGATTGGGAACCACATTTATTTGTGGTGTACTGTGTTGTGCATTCATCATGCACTGATCTTACACTACAAAGTACAAACTTGAACTGTATGCATGAGCTCAAGATGCGTACCTCATGAATTTAACTATTTTTTCATAAAATGGAATTATGATGTATAGAAAAGCTTCCTATATCAGAAACTGAAGTGTGTGCTCGTGGAAATACAGCACATATGTCCTCATTTTAACCAATAGGTAGTCTCTCTAAAATTATGTGTGAATCAATTTTAAAAGATCAAATTCTAATTTCAACATATTTTGGAAGGGTACTATATAAAAAAAAAAAGCCTTGTGTCAAAGCTTTCTAGTGATGAATGATCAGACTGTTGTATATCAGGTTTGCTCAAAATGAGGTATTCCCACATAGTGATAATTCATGTATTACCCAGAGTTTAATGTTACATGTAACCTCAACAAGGATATATAAATTTTTTAACCTGATGATTAAAATTCTTTTTCTCTGGCAAATTGTTTCCTTTGATTGGTTAACTGCATAATCATATGCAAACAGATATTTTATATCAGCCTTTTCTTTCTGAAAGTCCCTCATGAGCACCCAAGCATAGTCTGCCAGGTGCAACATGTCATGTCAACATGCTGAAGCTGTGTGGTTTTTTTTTTTTTTTTTTTTTTTGAGACAGAGTCTTACTTTGTTGCCCAGGCTAGAGTGAGTGCTGTGGCGTCAACCTAGCTCACAGCAACCTCAATCTCCTGGGCTTAAGCGGTCCTACTGCCTCAGCCTCCCGAGTAGCTGGGACTACAGGCATGCGCCACCATGCCTGGCTAATTTTTTGTATATATATATTTTTTAGTTGGTCAATTAATTTCTTTCTATTTTTAGTAGAGACAGGGTCTCCCTGGTTTTGAACTCCTGACCTGGAGCAATCCGCCCCGCCTCAGCCTCCCAGAGTGCTAGGATTACAGACATGAGCTACCACGCCCAGCCTTTGAAGCTGTGTTAAAGAAGTATCACTACAGCTCATACCAGGCCCCCTGTTTTGACTTTACTTTTTCCTATTACATTGAATTGAAAGTTTTCTAGCATGTTTTTAAATTTTATTTATTTATTTATTTATTTTTATTTATTTATTTATTTTTTTTGAGACAGAGTCTCACTTTGTTGCCCAGGCTAGAGTGAGTGCTGTGGTGTCAGCCTAGCTCACAGCAACGTCAAACTCCTGGGCTCAAGGAATCCTTCTGCCTCAGCCTCCCGAGTACCTGGGACTACAGGGATGCACCACCATGCCCGGCTAATTTTTTCCATATATATTAGTTGGCCAATTAATTTCTTTCTATTTATAGTAGAGACAGGGTCTCACTCTTGCTCAGGCTGTTCTCGAATTCCTGACCTCGAGCAATCCGCCCACCTCAGCCTCCCAGAGTGCTAGGATTACAGGCGTGAGCCACCCCCGGCACCTGACCTATTTATTTATTTTTATTTCTAAAAAAATCTGTGCCCAAAGCATTTTGATCTGATCTAGCATGTTTTTTATTATCACTTTTAAACTCCTAGCCAAGGCCAGGTGAAGTGGTTCACACCTGTAATCCTATCACTCTTTTAGGCCGAGGTGGGAGGATCGTTTGAGCTCAGGAGTTCAAGACCAACCTGAGCAAGAGTGAGACCTCGTTACTACTAAAAAATAGAAAAAATTAGCCAGGCATAGTGGCGCATGCCTGTAGTCCCAGCTACTCAGGAGACTGAGGCAGCAGGATTGCTTGACCCCAGGAGTTGGAAGTTGCTGTGAGCTAGCTGATGCCATGGCACTCTAGGCCGGGCAACAGAGTGAGATCTGTCTCAAAAAATAAATAAACAAATAAACTCAGCCAAAATCACTGCCTCAGTGACTAGTAATTAGAACCACATGACAACACAAATTTTATTATAATTCCAGTATGTCTTAAAACATTTTTTAGAACAGTGTTAGATTTACGGAGAAATTGAGCAGATATTACAGAGAATGCCCATATGCAGCTATCCTCGCATCCCTCCACTCATGCACACTGCATGAGTCTTTTAAAGGGAAGGATATCTGCCCAAGTTTGCAAATATCTTTCTCCTATGTCACACCTTACTCACATACTAAAACATCCTAAATACACATTTTAAGTATCTAGAAAGCACTCAGCCCAAACTCTACTTTTTATCCCTGAAGTAAAAGACAAGTCCCCAAACCATTGTAAACTCCTGAAGGCAAACCTTGTTTGAAAGTTGTTCAGAAATAGTTTTGCTCCACATAATTTTGAAGAAAGTTTATAAAAAGTGTCCCAGGATGATGACAATATTTTTGGAGTCAAAAATCAGAATACATGATCAGTTGTTTCTAAAAGTGCTTTTTGAGAGTTCAGAGCTTTCTGAGAGATGTGGTTTCAATGTGTGTTGAAGGGCAAAAAGAAAAGAATCCTATGAAATCCAGGCACAGTCTTCACATCCAATAATTGCTGAAAGGGCATGATAATTAAATTTCAAGAACTGCCCAGCTCACATGAAGTCAGTCCTGTAAAGGAGTTGTATTTGTTCTCTTTAGAAAAGTGTGGCAAGTTTTTCTCCTCGGATTATGAGGAATAGCCCCACAGGAAATTTACATGCCGCAATGTCTAGAAGCCAAAGTGCTTGTCATTTTTCATTAAGCTTTTGATAGGAAGCTGAAAGGATGACTGACTCTGGCTAGAGATTTTTAAATGAAAAACTAAGGTAATTCATGCTAACTGCCTGCACAATATAAATAAATCTCACGCTGCTGGAGAAACAACCTGAGGCATCTTGATTACTAAGAGTGAACTGTGAAAATGGAATCAGGAAGAAGTCGAAAAATAGCATTTTAATGGGGTCAGAAGATAAATAAGATCAACTTTACATCTAATGGTTGTTGATAAAGTTTAAGGATAGAGAGAAGAACAATGAATATACTTTATACTTTGTTTTCATTATAAACGTAATGTACAGTCACTAATTTTTTTTTTTGAGATTCAAATGGATTTCAGGTGAACGTGTATTTTAAGAAGCCTTACTTTTTGGACTACATGGCCTAATGGAGGTCCTATTGCCATCTGGTGGCATACCCTTTTCTGTTTTTGGACAGGGGCCAACCAAAACAAATGTGAACAGGTAAAGTGATGACAGTAAGCATTACTCTTAGGAAGTTTTTGATGAAACATTAAATGTAGGAACTCTATTGACACAGAGGCTTTTTGAGAATAAAAATTCTAGGTGTTTTTTCCCATTCATTAAAAGATGTAAGAATTTTGAAGATCTATTGGATACCTGGCCACTCTGAAACTACCATTGATCACTGGCTTTAGTTATGTTGTCAAAAAATTTCCTTATGAAATCAGGTTCAGAAAGGCATTGTTTTAATGAGTGTGTTTACTGACAAAGCTCTAGTAACAAAGTATACTTTACATGTCCAGTGTAATGCTTGCTTAATAAGGCTTGAAAAAAATGCCACACAAAATGCTCTGCTTTGCAGAAATAGAACTACCATCTTTTTGTTTTCCATGGTGTTCTCAGACTAATTCTGGTTTAATTATCTAGAATAGCAGAGATGTTTCCAGGGCACAGAGACTTGGTACCTTCTGTACAAGATGCCTTTGAAGCTACAAAGCACACTCTGTCCTTTAAACTACAAAGACAAACTGTATGGCTTGGCTAGGTTTAGTTGAACTAAATTCCACCAGTGACATTTCTATCCATTTCTTTTTTTAGAGACAGAGACAGGAGTGTCACTATGTTGCTCGGGCTAACTTCGAACTCCTGGGCTCAAGCAATTTTTCCCATCTCCGCCCCCTGAGTAGCTGGGACTACAGGCACATACCACTGTGCCTGGCTATTTCTGTCCATTTATTAGTGTCCATTCCTTGGGAGGATAAGCTCATCTCTGTTAATGCTTGCTAAGGTCCAAGATCTTAATCCCCTTTCCTACACCCTGATGCTGCCTGATCAGCTGAAAAGCTCAGAATTTATTTTCCCCATTAAGTGGGTTCCACCTTGGCTCTGTGAAACTGAGTCACATGGTCTATGAAAAACAAGCTTCTTTATGAAATCAGGTTCAGAAAGGCATTGTTTTAATGAGTGTTTACTGACAAAGTACATACCACATGTCCAGAGTACTGCTTGCTTAGTAAGGTTTGAAAAAAAGAAAGATGCTATAAGAGTACAGAAAGAATTAATGCTACTTGAAAATTCTGACTGCCTGCCAACAGTTCTACCCTAAGATATGGTCTATTCCCACTAATTCGTCAGTCAAACACAATGCATTGAGCAGTGACTGGCTTAGGAACTATTTCTTTTTTTTTTTCTTTTTTTTTATATGGCAAGAGCAGCATCTGGGTATGACTTGGGAACTATGGAGAATGAACTGATGCATAAGGTTCCATTCCTACCCCTGTGCTTAAAATCTAAGTGGAGAACAAAGACTAGAATACAAAACAAACCAGTTTCACATTTTACCAGCTTCAGAATATTATAGTGGATTAAAGAGCCACCAACTTGGAATTTAGAACACCTCAGTTTGAATCCCATCCAGTTTGGGGGCAGGGAGAAGAGGGGGCAGTTGCTTAACTGCTCTGGACCTTTACTTCCTGATCTTAAAAGTTAAGTGACTATCCGGTGAAACAATCTCCAACATCTTTTCATTTTTATGAAATCACATTTATTTGAACACTACATTCAGCTGTTGATCATACATTGATTGCAATAATATAATATGCCTGAAACAGTTTTCCTCTTCAGCCTAGGCTAGCTAGGTCTTCTCTCCCTCAATCTTTGGTCTTTGGGGAAACAAAGTCTCTTTGGTTGCTCTGAGTATAGTCCCTCCCATCTTGTCCCCAATCAGTTTTGGTACAAACCCATCTTTCCTCATAGCCTCCTGAGCTGGCTGTTACAAGATTGTGGATTCATTGACCAGAAGTCATATCAATAAACCCCTTCATAGGTCCAGTCACTCCCTTGTCTCCCTCTTGGCTTCACTTCTCCTCTACTCAGCCCAGACTCCAGGGTTCATGACATCAGCCACTCTCTTGCCAGCACCCCAGTGCCCTCACCTTCTGTCCTTCTGCCACATCCACCTGGTAGTTCCCTGACTTTGGATCAGCCAGCCTGCCCAACCATCTGTCTTCTCTCCTCCTACACCCAGGCTGCCAAAAAAGCTGCAGGAAAACATGCCATCGAGTGGACCAGGCCACTGCACCTGTATCTTCTCTAGCCTTGGAAACTTACCCTCTGCTTCTGAAACTGAAGCTCCTTCACTTTTCCCCGTCTGTGGCTACTTTACATCTTCTCCATTTCCTCAAGTCCCCTGCTCCCTCTCTGCTACCACCTTCCTCATAGCAAGCAAGCTTGCTCAGAGATAGTGGTTAAGAAGCTAAGGCTCTGCTGAGAAAAGAGTAGGGAGAAAACTGCAAACACATTCTGAACTGTCTTTGGTAGGTTTGTTTATATAGCAGTGTTAGCAAAACAATTCTAAAACAAT